TGGTTTGATAATATTTTTGGGACCTATATAATTAAATTGAGATACTTAACATTATAAAAATATAAACTTGTAGAAATTGTTGTGATTAATTGGTTATAGTGTTGAATCTAAAATTTCTACAGTAGGCTCCTAGCAATATTAGGTACTCACGGTAATTTTTGTAGCTCTGGAATAATTAGTGTGCTAAATAAATAATGATGTCCTATTTCGAATAAAGATTAAATCGATAGAATGGAATAAAGAAATAAATTGGGTTTGTATAACTAAAAATTATTGTTGGGAAATAATGCCATCTCTGACAATGTGTATATGTAGCCTAAGTACGGTGGTCGGTAGAACTAGCCCGTTAACTTGAGAGGCGTAGATCGTATTTTACGAATCACGATTTCAGTCGATTAATTACGTCTTTGCATTGCATCACATTGCATATCATATAGGTACGATGATGGACCAACGGATCAAGTGGAGGGTGATTGGGAATCCAAAGATGGTGTAATGGTATTCTCTCTAGGAGATGATGCAATGGGCTTTCTATTCAAATGATGGTGGATGATCTGAAGATGCAGATACTAACTTTTTAATATATCTTACCCAGGCAAGCCCCGGTGTATAACTCCTACTTTCTACAGTTTAAATTATATTTGTGCATTAAGTTTTAAGGAGTTGAATGAAACCCACTTGCATATATATCTTTATCCTATGAGTCTTACTAGTATGACAGGATCATGTAGATTGCTATGCTACAGGACTCCGGTAGAAGTCGAGTGATTGCCTGTCACTCGTGAGATATAGGAAATATATTATTGGATTATTATCACTTGAAAAATAGGAATGGTGAAAAGGAAAATGGTGACCGGGCAGGGATATGGTTTGGGTATTGGTGTGTGGAAGAGGTTGTGTCGCCGTGGACGCGGGGCATGGCTTGGTTACACTGCTTTCCCTGTCTGTGTCGATTAAAGGCCGGTCGTTGCATAAGGCTCTAGGCAAGTCACAGACTTATTATCCCGAGCACATACTTGGGTATGGGCGCTTGGAAGACTTGTTGCTCTCTTGTCGTGGGTTCCAGCTCTTTCCGGACCGACTGTTAGGGTTTCTTTTTGGTGGAGGAGGTCCTTGCACCGCACTGAATCTGGGACTCAGGGGTGGGGGCTTGGAGTCCCAGTTTGGACTAGGACCTAGGACCCCAGGGCTGGAGAGTGATGGGTTGGTCCTGCTTGTGCCTTGGGTATAAGTGGGGCGTGTGTTTTCGGGGTACCCAGCTGGGGGCATTGATTCGCGAATCGTCGGCCGATCCGGTACGGCTTGTCTACGGTTTAGCTTTATAGTAAGAACTGAAAGATGAAAAATGAATGGAAAAAGGAAATTTGATTACTTATCACCTGCTTGAAAGTAGCACATGTGCTTACATAGAATGGTTAGTTAATGAACCAATGCAGCTATAAATAAAAATCAAATATAAGGACGCACGCCTAGTAATGCTTCCTGCAAATGCAATAACCCACAAGCCAGATAGTCTTGCATATCCGTAGAGTCTTTTCTTTCCTTTTGTCGGGTAAGTCTTGGTGAGTACAATTGAGTACTCAGGGTTTTATTCCCCCTATTGCAGGTGACAGGTGGATGCTAAAGCTGACTCTTGTGTGTGGATTCCTCCTGGTGGGCTCAGCAAGGATTCCTTTACGCTACGATCGTAGTTGTTATTTATAACTCTCACCAAATGTTTTTATAAATGAAAGTTTTATAATCTGTTGTCGTAGTTTATATATTAATACTTCATCATGTCATTAATAGATGTTTATTTCCGCTGTAACTCTGTTAACATGTTTATATTCCGTGGTTACATTAAGTTATTCATAACTCTGATAATATAATTACATTCCGCTGTTATAGTAAATAAATATTATACTATGATATTGTACTAAAAGTGATGTAAGAAATGGTTAAGAATGATGTAAGCTTTATTCTCTCATTTGTGATCCTGATGGCATAAATGTGGATTTTCGGGTTCTCCCCTGGGGTGTGCCCGATGAAACCGAGTAATTTAGTGTCCTCCCCTGAGTGCTTAATGTCTAATGAAAGACAAGCACTCCGGTGAGGCATTAGATTAGGCGGTTCTGCCACAAATCAGACGAATGAAGGTAGCGGGGAAGCTCATCCTGTTGAGCACAGCGGCAATGAAGTCCCAGTTGATGCGGTCAAAAGCCTTGGCAAGATCAAGTTTAAGACGAAAGCCCTTGTGGTTCCAACTTCTAAGATTAAAAGAATGAATGATTTCCTAAGTGATGACAATATTGGAGGAAATATGCCTATTCTTGATAAAAGCCGCTTGGGCATGGTCGATGAACCCGGGAAGATGAGGTTTAAATCTATCCGCTAGAGATTTAGCAATGACTTTATAAATAACGTTACACAAACTAATGGGTCTAAAATCTTGAGGACACATGGGTTGCATTTTTTTGGGAATGAGGGAAATATAGGTCTGGTTAATTTCGCTGTGGAGAAAAGTTGAGGCGTAGAATTCTCTTACGTGTTGACGTCATCAGCTAGCCATGGCCATGCTGATTTGTAGAATGCCGCATTGAGGCCGTCCGATCCAGGGGAGGCGTTGCTGCGCATGCATGTTGTTGATGATGGAGTGGAGCTCTTGTTTGTCAGGGATAGAGTTGATGTGTTGGTCGTCTTGGAGAGGCGTTACCTGTTGCCCTACATCGAGGTGATCAAGAGTACAAGCAGTGGCATTGGCTCCGTTCGGCTTACCTTATAATCCACACTATTCAGCTTGTTTTTTTTTCAACCGGAACAATATATTTCTCTTACAACAATTTAGGCAGAACAATGTTTTTCAGCTAATTCAGTCAAGTTCCAGCAAGCCAAACGGGCTCATTATTATTGGTTGGGAAATTATGATCAGAGAAAATGTCCTGAGCCGGTCAGCCGGACGACTGTTGCTGTTGCAGGGGGTTCAAGAACTCAACAGCCTTTTATTAATTGCCGCATCTATGGCTCATAGGGTACACATTAACAGATCCATGCGCGTGGCATGGCATGGGGCAACCCCCCAGCAAGTCAAGAGCGATCATGCTTAAATAAAGGCGTCAACAGATTTAATTTGCTCAGGATCAATGAATTTTCAAAGGACACGGCCGGATACCTTGGTTGGTGTGATGATTAGCTTGCAGCAAGTTCATCTTCGTGCTGCTGCTTTCAGCCTCACAGTATTTGTACAATATATAATATACCGTCTGTTTACTTGCTCGTATACGATCGTGGATTATAAGCTGAAATATTATTTTTCTCTTACATCAAATCAGTCAGCAGTAAATAATTCACGATCATTTACGGCCTACCGAACATGCTGATAATTGCTCGATCTAGTGTAGCTTACGCAAGTTTGTAGCGCAAGAATTTCACAAGGATTTTTTCAGGAAAGTAGTATGATTATACTGGAAAAAAAGAATCTTATCCTAAGGACGAACGTGTGTTTATAGCAGAGTAGTTTTATAGTGGTACTAAAAAGAAAAGCTTTATGATCGACCCGTTTGGAGAATCAGAACTTGACAGCTCATGTGCACAAATGCTATATTAAATGGTATTCTAGGTTATCCTCTCTTCCTCTCAAATTTGAGATGTCATGTTTCGACCCTATATATAATATATTATTTGAGATAGGGTATTTGTTGGAGAAGGTAAATATTTAGAGAGGATTTTTTTGTTAGAATGTGAGTATGTGAGGATTTAAGGAAATTAAGTTTAGGAGAACCCTTCGAGATGCTCTTACAAAAACTTAGAAGTGAAGGGTAATTGTGGTGTTCTTGTTTTCCTTGCTGTGTTGATCAGCCCTTAGCTGCTCAAGATTGTAAGATGGACTTAATACTCCCTCTGTCTTGAAATACAAGGTACTCCTATATCAAGTTTTAAATATATTCTAAATTATAAGATATTTTGAATTTTTGAAGCCATCTATACGTTTCTGCATTTTTAACCACATCCATGCATGACTTTTAAACACCATTTTGTATAAATTGATTCATGTATTTGCTAGTCGTAGTTATACCTTTTCAAACTCATATTCTACTAAGGAATACGAGTTACTAATAAGGAATTAAAAAAATTTAGTATGTGAGTTACTAATAATGCCAGGCGAGCGTCATGAATCAATTTTGTAAATATTAGTATGTGAGTTACTAATAAGGAATTAAAAATTTTGAACTACAGAACTAACCACGAGACAGACAGTGAGACGGAATTTTGGGTTACTGTAGCATCTTCGTTTTTATTTGGCAATTCGTGTTCAAACATGGATTAATTAGGCTCAAAACGTTCGTCTCACAATTTCCCACCAAACTGTACAATTAATTTTTTTTCGTCTATATTTAATACTCCATACACAGACCGCAAATATTCGATGGGATAGATACTGTAGTATTTTTTGAAATTTTGAAGTGGAACTAAACACGCGAGGAGGCAGTGTACCCATCCAATAAAGCCGCTTGAACAGCGCATGCATGAGCCTGCTCCGATGCAGCAGTCCGCACGCCTGCGCTAGGCCTTGTATAGATTGTAAGTTTTTTTACTCTCTCTATCACATCAAATTTTTGAACACATATATAGAGTATTAAATGTAGATAAAAAAATAACTAATTACACAGTTTAATGATAAATTATAAGACGAATCTTTTAAGTCTAGTTAAGTTATAATTAGACAATAATTATTAAATACAAACGAAAATGCTACCGTACCGGATACTAATTCCTAACATCTATCTACAGTCGGACGGATCATCATCCATTGGTCGATCGCGCATGCATTGAATTCTCTCGCCAACCACCCGCTGCGTCGATGCTCGCCTTCAATTCTCCATGGCGCCAGTCTGCTAGCTTCTGCTCCCGTTATTTATTTATACCCACGCGCTGCCTGCTCATCTCGCTCCAACCACACCACCACTCCACAGTCCACAGTGCAGAACTTCACTCAGCAAACAGAGGAGTGAGCAGCAGCTGCCATGGAGGCGCGGAGGACGTTGAGATCTCTCCTGGCGAGCTTCGTGCTCGCCGCGTTGGCCGCGCAGGCCTTGGTGGCCGTGGTCGAGTCCAGGACCGGTCCCGTGGAGAAGCTGAGCCAAGGTACATCACATCTTCTTTCTTGAGCCGTGTTCATTCAGATGCTTACATTGATCTTTGTGCTGCGTGGTACCGTTGCACCGCCGCAGGTGAGGACGTGAAGAAACCGGACTGCGTGCCAGGGATAGACCCGCGCTCGTTCCCGGGGACCGGCGGCCACGGCATCACGCCTGTGACGCCGTCCCACGGCGGCGGCGGGTACGTGCCGACGCCATCGCACGGCGGGACGCTGCCTTCCCCGTCCCACGGCGGCTCCGGCTCCTCTCCGACGTCTCCCTCCACCGGCGGCGGCTCGTACGGTGGCTCCCCGTCCCACGGCGGCGGCGCCCACGGTGGTTCTCCGTCCACCCCAGGCGGCGGCGCGTACGGTGGGTCTCCGTCCACGCCAGGCGGCGGCGGCGGCGCGTACGGTGGGTCTCCGTCCACGCCCGGCGGTGGCGGCGCCTACGGAGGCGGATCCCCGTCGCCTGCCCATGGTGGTGCCTACGGGAGCTCCCCGACGCCCGCGTACGGCGACTCCTCCTCGCACGGAGGCATCGGGACCTCGTCGCCGACACCGTTAGTCCCCATGGACCCCCACAGCTTCGGCACCTGCGAGTAAGTCACAGCTTCTACTACAATATGACGCGTCCATGCATGCACAGTTTCCGTCAGCATGCATGCAGTCAAGTCACTGATGAACAAACTAAAAATTCTTGTCTACTCTCTCCACCATCATCGATCGAGCAGCTACTGGAGGTCACACCCGATGGAGATCTGGTCGGCGATCAGCGGCCGGTTCCCGAGCACTTCGTCGTCGTCGTCGATGGGGACGATGGGCCACTTCTTTGGCGCGGCGGCGGGCAGCGTGGGCGGCGCCGACGTGATGAGCATCCAGGACGCGCTGGGCAACACGCGTGCGGACGGCACGGGCGCGCTGCTGCGGGAAGGCGCCGCCGCGCTGCTCAACTCCATGTCCCGCGCCGGGTTCCCCTACACCACGGAGCAGGTCCGCGACGCGTTCGCGGCGGCGGCCGCGGGCGGGTCCGATGGCGCCGCCGCGGCGCAGGCGGCGGCCTTCAGGAAGGCCAACGAGGGCAAGGCATAAATCAGAGAGAGGTGGCCAGATCGAGCGCCAAATTAGCTGGAGTGCTATGATATGATGTCCATTTGTTGGTTTGATTGATTGTGTGCGTGGTTTGTTTCAGTGAGCAGTGAGCACACCGACCTACTAGCTCGCTGCAATTGTGTAGTCGCTGGATCCTGTTGTTTTTGTTCGTGTGGTCGTGTGGATCGATCGATGGAAGAATATGAATGAATGAAACAAACTGCAACTATGTAGTATCCTAGCTGAGCTGTTATTGGATTTCGACGCTGAGATCCTGTTGTTTCAGGTCAAGGCAAAGGCAAGGCAACAATTGCAAAGAAACGAGTACTTCTTGGCGCTGCCAGTTGAATCTGCATGCACGCACTAGCTACTCTCTGCCTGTTGAAGAACACTTGTGTTTGTTGCTTCGGCATGCATGGGCACACAGCCGATACGGAATAGGTACTGGCTTGCAAGAAATTACTGTACAGCGTATTAAACCATTCACGAGATTTATTTGATGATCTGCCGTACGTACGTAGATGCTACTAGTATAGCGGTGCACATTAAAAGGCCGAGTAATAACCACGCACACAAACATAATAACGTAGTACAAAATAGCGCGTACGTCGACGAAGTCCAAACCATACCCCTCTCCAGAGTTCAGATTGCCGACGATGATGCTGCATGCGTGGCAACACTGCTCTAGATATACTCCTCTGGCCAACAAAGCATGCAACAACGGGTTACGTGCCAGTAAAAGTAACTTACGTTTAACCAAATTTTCAGTGAATATTATTAACATTTATGACTCCAAATTAATTTATTAAGAAAATACATTTCGTAATAAATCTAATGGTATTTATTTGATATTATAAATATTAATATTTTTTATCTATAATTAAACAAACTTGAGATACTAAACCATAATAGTGTGTGCTAGAATTGCATATTTTCCGGACGGAGGAAGTACTAGATAACACAAAAAAAGTCTAAAATTAAATATATCTGGCCTCGTATACATCGAGCTGTATGTAAAACTATATATTATTATATGTATTGTTATCAGACACTTACATAGACGGGCAAACAGTGACACCCTTGACGTGGCTCCACTCTCGCAAGTCGCAACTCGCGACCCGCCGCCGCCGCCGCCGCCTTCCCGTCTTCCACCACCGCTGGTCCCTCTCCCTTCCCCTCTGGCATCACGCTGGAGGCCAGAGGGAGTGTAGATCCATCGTTTTTAATAAGTTTCTAGTAGATTGAGTCCTTAGGATTAGGGTCTCTCCATGCCAAGTTTTTCTTTGGTGATGAGGATTTATCTCCTCCTCTTCTCCGGCGATGGTGAGAGGGCAAAGTGAAATCGTTTTCTTCATGGCGGCTCTGTTGAAGATGAGGGCGACAACTACGGCGTCAACAGCTTCATCGGCATGACAACATGGAGACCTTTCTTTCCGGTGGCGACATCAAGGCAGAGATGATGTCGCCACCATGGAATAATTTCCTCCAGTCTCTTCTCCGTTTTGTTGTGGTTAGATCTAACCACAATGAAGGACTAGGGAGAATAATTTTCAGATCAGTCTTCCTCAATCTTCGGTGGCAGAAAGAAGGAAGACATAAGAAAGAAGTTTCTCAACTCCGCCTGTAGGGATGTTGGCCGTCGTTCGTTGGGCATATGCTCTCAGGCCTATTGCCGAGTGTTTGCCTGTACGGTCATCTATACGAAGCGTCAAACAAGTTTGGTGTTGAGATCTGGAGCTATTCACAGCGTTGGTATAATTTAGATGAAAATCAGTTTATGGATATATGTAATATATTCTAGAGGGCTTGTAACGTGTTGATGTACCCACCTATTATCTAATATAATTCTTCTTTCGTCTCAAGAAAGACACTTACATAGACGCTAATGTTGTGAGCAGGGCGTCCGGACGGACGGACCTTCCTGAGCCTGCATCTGCACCTCACGGCCTACAGACCAACCCAATACCAATAGGCCTCCCTTTTTATTATCGTGCTTGCTTCCATTCCTTTTCGTTGCATAGGTCGGATAAGGATAAGAAAAGGAGACCTCCACTGCTTTTGCTCCATCCATGGTCCATGGCGTTCCCTTCCTCTCCTTCTCTAAAACTCTACCGCTGCCACCTCGACCACTCAAGCCCCGACGCCCGTCGGACCTCCCTTGTCGCTGCACGTGCTCCACCGCTCGCCTCGCCTGACGAAGCGGGAACGTCCACTCCCACGCATGGGGACCGCTTCCTCGGCCGCCAGCTAGCCACCGCGGCTAGCGCGTGCGTGCTCGTGCCCGATGACACCTCCCTGGCGTGGAAGCCCTCTGGCCTCACGCTCCTGCTACGACTATGGAGCCCACTGTAGATGCCTGAGGAGGCCGCATCGGGCTATGTCGCATGTTGCAAGCATATCTTTTTTCAAATGTTTTGGATGTTTTAGAGGTACGTTGCAAGTGTTTTATGTGGATGTTGCAAAAGTAGATCGAGATGTCGCATATGTTGCAATGGCTATACACATATGTTTCAAGTGTACGTTCATAATGTTTCATTTGTTTCAAGTGTTTCATCTGGATGTTGTAAAAGTAGATCTGGATGTTGCATATATATGCAAGTTTCAGGGGTTCTCATACGTATGTTGCAATATTTTCAGCTGGATGTTGTAATGTTTTGCAATGGCTATACACATGCTTTCAAGTTTTTTCTGGTGTTTTGCAAGTGTTTTAGCTATTTCGGACGTATGTTGCAAGTGTTTCATCTGAGTATTATAAAAATAGATCGAAAGCTGCACATGTTAAATGGGACCCACCTGCCGCCTGCTGTTGTGCTGGGGCACCGCCGGGCGGTGCCCGAGCGGGACACGTCCTAGCGGCGCGGGCCCTTGCCTGACGCACAAAACGAGCAGGCGTGGAAAACAGGGCGTAGAGAAACAGACCAGTCCGGACGCGGGCCTATGTTCGGATGTCCGGACGGCTGGCATCTCGCTAGCATAGGGCGTCTGCAGAAGTCAAAGGTGTCCGGCCAATCTGCAGGCGAACTGCACTAGGTTAGAGAAGCACGAGGTTCTTGGGCAGGCCCATTGCAGCGATCTGTTGGCCCATCAGAAGAGAAGTGCTTCTTCAGGCCCATTCTAGCGATATGCAGTTCAGCCTGTTCCAACGATTGTTCTTTTCTTTGTTTTTCCAACGATTCGTCTTTCCCAAATATATCTTATTATTAGTACAAGTATATGCTAGCCAGCCGATTCACTAAAAACTAAAAATTACTGAAGTAACTTGTTGGAAAAATATAAACATATATCTAGTAAAAACGTTATATAGTTGTCTAGTACCGTAGCCATGCTGTTTACCTGAATGTTTGAAGAGTTTAAGTGATGGTTACATGGTTTGGTGTTCCACATATCAGTTTCTCGGCTCTCAATCGTTGGCCCCGTTGACTTGAACTTTTCAGCGAACAAACAGTGTTGTGTTAGAGCTCCTTTTCCAAAGTCCGACACCATTTTTCTTTCGAGATTTGTGTTTTGATTCCTATCTTTCAGACTAAACTGCGAAATCGAAAGTGGTTATTAGGGGAGTAATTTCGATCCTTAGGAGTGCTGTAGTGTGGGACCATTTCGATGAATAGGCACCGCTGCCCACTCACTCCCTTAGGCGAGAATTTATTCTCGTTCGATGGCGGCCCAGTTGGGACACTTCAATAAAATACCTCACATACGTCTGTAGCGACAAAATAACATATCTTTACTATTGAATATTATTGTTTATGTTTTGGAATTGTGAAGATCAGGTCCAGCTAACTCCACGAATCAAAACAAGCACCACTTTTCCCTGCATGGAGTGATGAAACACTCTCTCTCCTCTTTGGGCATCAGGCCAGAATATCGAAGTTGATTCTTATTCTCGTTCGATGGCGGCCTGAGACTACACTATAATGTGCACACCAAAACTGTCAATAACATATTGTTCTATTATAATGCTGGGCGTGTGGTAGATCGGGCGTCCGGATTTAACTCCTGAATCCAAGCGTGCTTTCCCGCATGGGTGAATGGGCCCAAAGCTTGCCAGGGAAACAGTTGATTCTATTTCTCCTCCACATTAACACTTCATGGCTTCTAAAAAAAAGAAATCATGTGTGTGTGTAGTCAGGCGTCCGGACATTTGTGCTTTCGCTGCGTGCTACCGAGGCAACAGTTCGCTCTCCTCCACCTTTCTTCATGGCTTCTCAAAAAAAGAAAGACATCGATAGTTTCAACTTTGCTTACTGATCGTTGCTGGCGTTCCCGTCGCTTTCGCCTTTCTCCGGCGTGGTTGTTGCTGTCATGGCCTTCTCTGTGAGGGCACCTTGCACCTGCACGGCACCGGCCTACTATGACCTTCTCCAGCGTGGGACCACACCTGTCCGACCACCGCCACCACCTCCACTGCGGGTGCCGCTTGCCGGGGCCCTCGGCGCTCACGGGGGCCACGCAGCTGCCTGCCCAATGCCATCCTCCTTCTCCACCATGATCTAGCACCGGATCTCGCTGTGCAGTGCTCCGCTCGCTCGCCTGCCATGTTTCAAGTTTATGTTTTAATTGTTTCATATATTTCAGATGTATGTTGCAAGTGTTTCATATGCATGTTGCAAAATTAAAATCGGGATGTTGCATATGTTGCAATGGTTGTACCGTCTGTTGTAAACTTATGTTCTCATTGTCTCATTTGTTTTTCAGACGTATTTTAAAAGTGTGTTTATCTGTATGTTGCATATGTTTCACACATATGTTCCAAGTGTTTTATCTAGATGTTGTGTATATTTTGCAATGGTTTTCAGGTGTTTTTCAAGTGTTTCAAACACATGTTTCAAGTGTTTCAAATGTCTTCAGACGTATGTTGCAAGTGTTGCATCTGAATGTTTTAAAAGTAGATCGTGCACATGTTACAGTGTAACCCACCTACCATAGCCTCTGCTGCTGCTGGGCACCATCGTTGGTCACCGTGGGGGCACCTGAGGCCAGCACACCTCCATGGCGCGCAT